CTCCTCGGGGAGCTGGCTCTTGGCCGCGGCGTCACGGCGTCACGCAGGGCACCTGATTCAAGAGGATTGTTGGGAGGTTCCAACGCAAGAGCCTTGGAAAATCAGAATTGGGGGGTTAGTTGTAGGAGATGGGATGATTTACTCATTTCTAAGGGGGCAATCCTATTGAATCCCCATTGTTGGATGTTTTTTTGATGTTTTTTTTGGGGTTCAAGCTGAATAAATTGCACGGCATAGGGGATTATTTCGCCACGGATGGATGAAGTACTTGAATTAGTGGGTTCGGTGGATTTTGAATCTTACCCCCCCATAGCCACCCTGTCTCCTCACTAAGGCCCCGACTGGCATCGTTATTTTGGGCTTCTCGCAACTGCTGACGCGCCTTCGCTCGTGGAACTTCTTGGAAGACCTGCAGGGTGCTGATGGTCATGCGAGTGCAGAAAATCTGGAAAAAATGTACTTGTTGAACAGTTGAGCGGACAATCTGCGAGTGCAGAAATAAGCGTGCAGAAAAAAGCAACAGGCATTAAGGTTGTAAAGCACGTGGCAATTTTGGAGTTGCAACAATTCAGAATGATGCAGCTACCAATCATCATCAATGACATCTTGCATGCACCAGAATCTTCAGGTATCGGTATGGCTGCAAATGGCACGCCATGAAATGCCTCCATCTCTCTGTTCGACTCTTTCCAAACTGAGCCACCAATTGCCCAGGCTCCAAGTCCAAGCCCTTCTCACGCCTGGGCTCTCGATGGGGGTACCAAGGAATTTAAGGATGCCTAGATATGCCTAGTGGTTTTTGATACATGGATTGGTACCATCTAAAACAGATTGGGAGATTATGGCCGTATCACAAACGGACCCTTTTCGGGTTGCATCTGCCATCTGCCATTCTTCATCAAAGCTGTCCATCAACTGATTGCTCAGGCCCTTTTCCTTTACTTTTTGCAAATGCCCGCGTGGAATCAAAAGTGCTTTGACCATCACTCTCCAAGGTCAGTGGCGCAAATAAACTTCCAGAACCAATAAGGATCAGGAACTATGTTTAACTATGGCAATTACTTTTGAGCATTTTGATAGATGATTTGGGATGATTTGATAGATTATTTTTTTTTACTTAAATTTCCAGTCCTCAGTCCCGAAGGACGAGTGCCGTGCGCCTCCGACGCCAAACCCGAGCCATGATCCACTGACGCCAACTAGCGATCCTGGCGACTCATGATCTGACCCGTCATGCCCAGACACCTGGGATATCCTGGGATAGTTGGAGAGTTGGGTGATATCATGTCTAATAATTATTTTTTTCAGAATTGACATCACCCAACTAGTTAACATGAAACATGAAGAAACCTAATAACATCTATCAATCCCGGCAGCCAAATGTCCCTCAAAAGCCAAATGTCCCTCAACCAACATCATGACGTCATGGTGAGGCCATTGTAATTTTAATCACGATCAATGAACGGAAAAGGATATGGGATGATATGTGGCTTTGTCCAAGATGTGGTACAGCAAGCCCCAAACAGATAGAAAAGATGGAGACCAGGGAATTATCGGGGAAACATCGTTGAACTAACATCCTGCATATTTCCCAACGTATAGGAATTATTGTCATAGTTGTAGCCAGAAAATATAATCCCAACTGCACCCCAAGTAACATCAAAAATATCTGAACTTGGCAATCCCAAACTGATGAAATCTCCACAATCTTGGATGCTCAGATGAAGGCCCAACCCAACCCGGTCCTCTCCAAAGGAGCTTCGAAAGATACTGCGGCAGATGATCAGATTCGATGAGCTTTGGCGAAGTTTGAAAAGAGGTGGGTTTATCTGAAAATGGACTATTCATGAATATCCCAAATCTATTCTCCATTGGCAATTTTGCTGGCATTTTCAGACCCGGGTGCGCTCCAGGCTTCAAACTTTATCCAGGATGCATAGTTTCCAAACAATTTCCGCCTCAGGACCTCGAGAAATCCTCCACGCGGATTTCCTTGGTGCGTTTCTGCATCATGATTTTGCGCCACTAAGGATGCCTCTTTCGTAAAAACCCGTCCATTCAGAGAATGCGTCTTATTTTCAATGGAAAATATGACAACGTAGCAGAATATGAAAAATATGACATCTGAAGCTAAAATTCAGATATTAAGGATTAATGTCAACCCTGGATTAGTAAACCCTTAGGCTGTTTAATTGGAGGGGGTACCATTAAGTATCAGATTATGACTATTGGGGAAGTACCACCCTAGTCTTAAAAAAAATATGGTCTATTATGAAAAACAAGGGCCAAGATATCATCCAGCCGGAGCAGTGAAAGAACCTGAAATCCAAACCGCAAATCCTGAAGCAAGATCATCCACAATCATATGGCATGCAGTTTCAACACTACAAAATGGTGTATCAATGCATATTATATGTGCTTTTTCAGGACATTGAAACCGAATTTCACAGTGTCCTGCAGAACCCATTTGTCTTCTTCTTTGGACTCAATCCTTCGAAGGTTCTGGTAGATATAACGATTGTTGATAAAAGTTGAAAAACCCTGTCATTTACCCTCTGGTAATGTAACCTGGCTATTGAAAAGGGTCCATTTAGTTTGTCGGTTTACCTACCGTACCATTCACGGTGATTGTCCATGGCTGTCTATGCTACCAGAGGCTACATATGAAGTTGCTTTTCAAACATACAATTGAGGGGGAAGTGGCAGGAGCACTCCCCAGATCATTGAGACAATCCCTGGGAAATCATCCCGCAGATCTTCATTTATTAGTAACCCTGCTGAAGTCCCCGATTCATCCATCTATAGAACTGGGAGAATTGACCCCACAAACACGAAGCACATTCCAAGCATTATCATGTTAATAAACCGTCATTCATCTGATTATATCAAGTGATACATTTGTAATAGCGGTTTAAACTGATATGCAGATACACAATGATAAGTTAAGTGATGCCTAAAACAATAGGTGTATATCTGATAACTATAACCAGGTGATATCAGGTGTTTAGACCCCTATTGTTTGATAATCGGCATTCCTACTTCCATTACTGACCAGTTGGGGTGGTGTGAACCACCAAGCAGCATCTTGGCCACCCTTTTGAAGGCTTTCAGCTTGCTCAAACCTCGGCAATGGAGGTATCTCAATGTGTGAAGCCTAGGTGCCTAGGTGTTCATGGGTAGCTATCTGGAAAACTGTCTTGACTTGCAAATGGTGTGAAATGAAGAAAAATCTGCCAAAGAGAGTAGTACTAGTACAACTAGTTGTAGATCAATTTGTTTCACCCGACCCTGCAGTTCCAAACACCGTCTGAGACGCTAGTAGTTGGTTTTTGGCTCCCAAACATCTTCCGAGAGTAAATTTGGAGCGCCAGGGCAGAAACGGCCCTTCTTCGTGAAATAAAATGGTATTCTTGTAAGTAATGTTTCACAGGACCCATGCAGGTTGACATGTTTTTTTTTTGGAAGTCGCTACTTGCCAGATTGATAGATTACTTCACGATGGCCTTTCACACCTGTGACACCCTGCGATGGTATCAAAGGCCATTGTATGCACGCATTGAGCAACGGGAATCCACACAGAATGGTGAAACTGTAGCTGTAAAATGTCCAATCCACAAAAGCTTGAGGTGGATGCTATGTTGAAGCCTTGGAGGTCCCTTCTTCCAACGACCCAATCAAACCCTGTGCTCTTGAAATTGCTGCTTGACAGTTGAAAGTAGTAAGCAACTAAAATGAACTCCCGACGCGCTGAGGAATATCTGTAGCTTCCCAAACAAGAAACGTTGATGGGTCGCACGAGTGTTCATCTTTAACATGGTGCAACATTGATGTGCGTTTCACTCGCTGATGTTGCTTTGAACCTGAAACCAGTGACATCGATTATGCATTGCACATGTTCAAAGGCAATTTCATCCCAGGTGAAACTTGACTGCAGCATAATACAGTCAACGCAAAGGAATCGATACAAGACCCGATACGTCTTGCCTGCGATCATGGGGCCATCGCCGAACAGTCGTGGAAGCTGTATTCCAAGACTACCCGAAAAATATGTACCACCTTTGGGGGTAGTGGATTGTTCTTCCGTTGGAAAGAAAACTACTTGAGTTGCCACCTCGAATCATGGTTTGGACCTAGAAGTCATTTCACGACTTTGCTCACCATGTCATCACACTGAAAGACAAGAGAATTGAACAATTGAACATAACAATCCACCACAAACATGAAGGAGCGGTGTGATGTCATACAACTAATGGCTGCACAGCAGAGATTCCAGCCACTTGCTAGGTTCAATCCTGATCCCAAACTGAAATAGAGAGGAAACCCCATGCATCACAAATGTTCATCGTTTTAGGTTCTGGTTTTAGCATTGAATTCATCCAACATAATTAAACCATCGAAAGCCGCGAACTTTGCGGGGACCCAATTTTAATCCACACCCTGTGGACCCAACGGCGTTGGACGGCACATCTTTGATCTTTTCACCGGTGCTCTCCAAAGGCACCTTTGGCCCGACATTGAACTGTGTCGAAATCACCATACGAAACCTGCAAAAACGGGAGGGGAAGCAGGTGACTGGAGATTTTTTCCCACAAACTTCATGATCTTCATGTTGTCAGACACCCGCAGACTTGTCTAGCATTTCTTGCACGGAAACAATTTACAAAGGTGTATAGTTGATAGGGTTCTGCATTAGAGAGATCTTGCTGCCAAGGACAACTGACTAATGTTTAAAGATACCCAGCATGTTGTCATAAGCCCAGCAGTCAAAGTTTTGGTGCGTGCAATGTACAATGTTCATCAAGTTTCGCATGTTTGCTAATTAACAATGAAACAAAGCTCCTCACAGGCAAGTAGGAGCTGCTTGCTAGCCCTAGCCATGTTTATCATTCCCGTGAATGTTTTGCTGATTGCTCCAGTTCTTTATTAACTGTCATTACCAGCAAAGACTGACTGGCACATGAGACACCAGAGGAGCTATTCCCGGTTCCAGGCCTTATATTTCATGCCTTGGGCGCAGCAAATGTGCAAACAACATCTGGGGCTCAAAATTATTCAACCCCAAAAATCGATATGGACAGAAGAAACATCAAACAAATGCCTACTCTGTGCGTGCCCATCGGTGACCTTTAGGCCATGTAGTGCTGAAGATAGTCAAACGCAAAAAATAAACATTCCTGTTCTGTTCTGTCCGTGCATAATCTGATAATCTGATGTGTTCTCGCCGAATCAATTCTGCAGATTCAATCAAATTCGTGGTTCACCTGTGCTCAATTGTTGGCCTGTTGGCCGGTGGCTTGTGATGATTTGGCAATGGGTTTAGGCTTCATGGATCTTCATGGGTCATGTGTCCAACATCGGATGCGTAAACATCCCTGGTACCGACTCACACTATCCCTACTCCTTTCATGTTTTCATTCCCACCAGTGCCAGCAGTTTCACCATGTTGCACCCATGGATATTCCCACCTACAATGCCATTGGGTCACTGCATTGAGCCTCGCCCGTGCAGCCAAGAGGCCTTGCCCATCAGCAAGCTCACCATTTCTGTTTCATCCTCCTCTCTTGCGAGATCCAAAGGCGTTTTGCCTGGGAAGCACAGCTGACATTCGAAGTGACCCTTTCCAATATCACTTCACTTGATCGCCGTGCGGACTGCAGAATTTGACGTGTGGAAACCATGTGCGGAAAGCGCTGTTTCATTTTTCTCATTTGGCTCACACGGATGTCAAAGACATGGATGAACTCTAAACATCTCTAACCCTTTTTTTTTCGAATTTCAAGGGAACTTTGAAGACGGGAACCTGAGATGATAAATCCAGTGAAATCCCATGCTGAAGTTGAAAAAACTTAAAAACTTCAAAGATATGTCATAAGTCATTGAGACATGCCACATTCGCTGAACTGCACCGGTTATATCTGTTATTGTGATTGCCGGTGAAAAAAAAACGGTCTTCAAAAACGGGACATCGGCTGAGGCCCCCAGCCGTCGCGGTCCTTGATTTCCACGGAGGCCTTTGCTGCCAGCAGCAGCTGGGCGCACTCCGCGCGGCCGCCGGCTGCTGCACCATGCAGCGGAGTGGAACGACCTCAGCACCGGCGGAGTGGCGTCCGGCGGTGCCGTGACCGGCGATCGCTGAGCTCCCCGCGGCCGAGGCCGTCGCCGCTCAGGACGTCCACGGCGGCGCCCTTCGCCACGAGGAACGCCACGATCGCCGGGTGGTCGCGGCTTGCTGCCCAGTGCAGCGCTGCCGAGCCCTCGAAGAGTGGGTCCAGGCAGCTTTCGTCGCGGCGCAGGTGGCCCCGGACGGCCGGGAGGTCGCCGTTGTCCGCCGCGTCGGCGATGTGGTCGTCTCGGCGCGCGGAGGAATGAAACGGAAATGACGATGTTTTTGTTTTCCTTTTTTTTCCTTTGATCTTTCTGATTTCTCTAAGTTACAAGTCTGCTAAGTCTGCTACTATTGAAATTCCATTGAATCAGTTAGAGACCTAAACTTATTGAACTTTGAAGTTCCTGATGCTCAATGTTATGGAACTTGAAGTGCAGCTTCAAATTTACTTCTATAGATCTTCTGCCTGAGGTAGCATCAAGTTCTATCTTTAGTCAGTAAGGACTGAGGCCCAGACATTTCGCAGCCGCGGCTTCGTCGGCTGCAACTTGTTCTGGATCTTCCTGCAGGTGTTGTACCGGCGCGACATGCAGTTTCATAGAACACACGTGCACGCAAATAAGGAAAGTGACCATAAGCCTGCGAAGACTGTACGCTTTAAGATAGAAGACTTTACAGACTTAGCCTAGATATAAAGAAGTTACAGAAGTTATGTTGGAAGTTAACATGACTTATCAAAAATATGAAAAGAAATTATGTTAATTTGGATAACTTATGTGTAAGTTTTTGGTAAGTTTCGATAACTTTTTATAAATGTTTATAACTTTTTATAACCTTTAAAGGCATTGCAATGTTGGTTTCAAAGTTGTTTCGGATAATGCTGAATAATAACCTAATACAGACTATGTTGTTTTGAAAGTGCGTTGATACATTTCTGAATATTTTGTGCCCAAGTGTTTCATTACATTTTTTCCGGATTGGTTTCATTTATTGCAGAACCTTTTTTTATTATATAACTGCTTTGTTTCTGCAAGAATTATCATATATGATATCATGTTTGCAATTTTTCTAGGAACTTTCATATTTGATGTGAAATCTTATCAGTTTTGTGTTTTTCAGGAACTATCACATTTAATGCGATATCCTTTCAGATTTTGCCCCTTTCACGAACTGGCACATTTGCCAGGAAATCTTTTCAGATTATGACTTTTTCAGGAATTATCATACTTGATGTGGGTTCTGTTCAGAAGTTTTCCTTTTCAGTAGGGACCTTCACATTTGATGTGAATTCTTTACAGATCTTAACCTTTACAAAGAACTATGGAAGATATAGAAAGAACTATGGCAGAACTATGGAGAACTATGGAAAATATAGAAAGAAAAGATATTATTTCATTGTTAGTCTATTACATTTGAAAAAAAAACTAAGATGAAAATAGCCTTGCAATATGCATGAATTGTTTCTGAACTAGAGCTAAACTATGGTTAAAATTTGACTTAACTATGGTTAAGCCATAGTTCAGCCATAGTTTAGCCATAGTTCCTGCATAGTTCCCGCATAGTTCCTGCATAGTTCCTGCATAGTTCCTGCATAGTTCCTGCATAGTTCAGCCATAGTTCATCTATAGTTCAACAATATTTCTTCATGAGCTATGGTTGAACTACGGATGAAGTATGGTTGCAATATGGCTGCACTATGGCTGATTGCCTTCTCTCAAGTATGGTTGAACTATAGCTGCACTGTAGCTGATATATGGTTAAATCATTGTTATTGAAAATTCCACTGGAAGAGATAAAGACTATCTCTTGTACCAGGCATGTTTGCTATACCAAAATGTGCCTCATCCCAAGGGTGTTGATATAAGTTTTTCGGATAGTTTGCCTAGGTTTTGAAGTTGTGCTTGTGGGGTTTTCAGCTCTATGTGTGCCATGTGTTTTGTGGATAAGCTTTTTGTATCTTATAAAATTTTGTTCTTGTAAGGAAATAAATATTCTGATCATAGTTTCTGTACTGCTGGGGGGTTGTACCTAGCCAGAAGGTAGCTACATCAAGAAGAGAGAATCTCTCCATCCAAATTTCGACTGTGATATTATTTCAATAAAACTCAACATGTATCTAGACCTGGACTATGGCTGAACCATTGCAAATTTAAGCTTGCGTTATGCAGCAATAATTCCAAGATAATTCCAATGCAAATGACGCAAAATAGGGGTTCCATAAATGAGTGCCTCAAGCAATGGATTTTCAAATGTAAAAAAAAGGTTTGGGGCACTCGTAGCTCTTTTTTTGGCTGTTTTTAATCTAAGGACTTGGAAATCACAACGCGCAAAATATACCAAAAACCATTTGAAGCAATAATGGTCTTGTAGTTTATAGTGTAATGGTTTTAAAGCTCAAATAAGTAGATCCCAGAAAAAAAAAACCTCCTCCATTTTTGCAAACCTTATCCTTTACAGGAACTGTCTTTGCAGACCGTATCCTTTACAGGAACTACCTTTGCAGATCAAATTCTTCACACACAGGAACTGTCTTTTCACACTTCAGCCGTTTTAAAAACTTATTCTTGGGAACCATAACCTTTCCGGGAAAGCATCTTTGCAACTATCTTTTTCCGAACAACATTACTCAAGCTATCGAAACATACAGCACAAATTCCATTTTGTAACTTTTTCTAACTTTTTGTAACTTATGATTACCTTTGCTAAGAACTTATGTTAAGTATCTTAACATAGTTATGAAAAGTTATCTTTAGATAAGATACTTCCGATAAGTTCGTTAAGAACTTATATCCTACCTAAACATTTGCAACTTCACCTAGCCGGCTAGCTGAAGTTATAACTTACTTGTAAAAAGTTATGAAACTTGACATAACTGCAAGCAGGTTATAAAGACGTTATAGAGGGTTTATCAGCACGTTATAATTCATATAAATTTGTAAACCCACATAACTTTAAGCGAACAGTCTTCGTGTCTATGTCTAGACAAGCGATAGGTTCAAGTGTTGTTCCAGTGCGACGTGGTCTATCATGGAAAAATCCTAAGTTTTCTTCTTGGCCTCAGCAGCCTCTCTCAAAGAACCACTTGGCAAGCTGTGGTCTGAGCCAAACTGCCCACAAATTCCGCTTTACAATCCGTCCTCTTGCTTCCGTGTTTCCTCTTCTCGCTTTCTTTCCTGTCATTTTCACCAAGCAAATGCGATAAAGATGGCTTTCCATCGGGCTATCCGGTTCTGGATATGATTTGCACTAGAAACACCCAGTTTCACGTGGAAACTTACGGCAATATATTTTGGAACCTGTCATCCGAAGTGGGTGACAGTTTTCGTTGGGTGAGTTCGTTGTGCTTTGGTTGTGCAGGGATAAAAAGAGGCCATCTGGCAGCATTTTTTTTGCAACAGGTTGCACCGAAGCCAGTAAGCGTTCTCAAATACTCGCGCAGCATGAATATTACAGTAATTATTAATTATATGAATAGGATTGAAGATATTGAAGATGCAAAAGGAGAGTGTGAGAGTTGGAGAAAGACTATGAAACCCCGAAACCAAGCACAAGATGGGGCCCGGTTCGATGAATTGGCAAGGACCTACTTTGGCTCCAATTGAGAAGGGAAAGACCAATAGGACAACCAAGGAAACTTTGAAACTCCCCGAGCTAGTCCACCGGGCCTAAAAGCAAAGGGCTTCGACTATGAAAATGCCTGCAATGACTGCGCATGTGTAAAGATGGAAAGATTGAGTTGATTACATACTGTAATCATGAGGCAGGGTGTCATAAATTTGTATGGACACTTGCTGCAAGGATGACACTCACACGTGATACATGTATGCCATGAATCTGTGGCATTTACAACGGGGTCAAAAAAATCAAAAAGGACCGAAAGGAGTGGTTTCCAGACTAGGCAAAGATGGTTCTTTTGAAAAACATGTTTCGCAGCCGGACATATTGTTCACAGCAATTTTGCGCGAAGCAGGGATTTAAAGATGGTTCTGTGCTAAAAACTGTTTTTCAAGATATCCCAGTCGCAAACAAACCACTAGTTTCCACCTGTGTGGGACAGGGCCAGTGCAGACTTCCTTTGCAAAGCATACCCTTATTGACACTGTTGTGGGTCTTCCCCTTTTCATGGCTGTTGCTGCTCTTACAGTTCGTGACATTGCTACTGTTTTTTGAGACAAACATGGAGGCAATACCACATCTACATGTTTTGCACCCTGAAACATGGGTAGTGATGCATCTGTTGAACTGTCTTTGCCACACCTTTCTGCGAATGCGTTGGATGCACTCCGAAGTAGTCAACGTCAAAACCGCTTGCAATTGTCACTCGCTTTCACTGGTCCCAAGCGAACTGTATATTGCGAACCAGTAAAATAGAACTGGTCCCATCATAGTGTAAGGGAACACCATATAAGCCCACCCCGTATCACCCCGTGCCTTGAGCCACATTCGCGCCTCTCGCACTTTCTGATGATCTTCTGGCACACTGCAAACAGTGGTGGCATATTTCAACGCCTCCTCAACCTCATTGGAATCATTTTTGTTGAGAGCCCGCTGAAGTTGATCAACACCATTCTCCTCACGTGCGTTCAGGAATAAACAAACATATCATCCTGCATAGATCCACGCATGAGTGAGTGGGTGTATGTGAACATTTTTTACCTGTTCCTGTGATGCTGACTTCTGAAGGGTATCGCGCTTGGGGAAAAAAATCGTCTTTGCCGGCCGTTTGTTTTGGGTCTGAAGTATTCTACGGCCGAAACTAGGTACAAGCTATCTTGCAAGGTTGAGGATGCACTTGCCCGGTGAATAATTTGGCCAGTCATTCTCTCGGTAAAAACGGGCTTCCTTCGCAACAGCAACACAAGTAGTGCTGCAGTTACCCAAATGGCCTGTTGATCATAATGAATGTATCTCGGGCAGCTACAATCGATGATCCAACACTATTTTGCGCTGAGGATCGTCAAAATTGCTGAAAAAGTATTTGATTTAGAGACATTGCGCGAGCCAGGGCCTACGCAGGTGGGTTTAACAATCGCGGATCAATCGCTCATCGACCGCGAGCCAATCATGGATTGCATCGACATTTTTGTGAAAATTGAATTGATCTGGGTTGCTAGACTTTGAAATTTGTTGTTATGATTCTTCTTTGCTATTGGCTGTCACTATTCAACACAGTGATCACAGTGTCTAAGCAGACCCGAATATATTATAAAGAAGAAATGTAACACAATTGTCACGCCGTATAATATTCATTTCTCCTCTTGCCTATACTACGCCAACCCCCTCTTATAACCTATAGGTTATAACCAGTCATAACTAGGTTCGCAAGTCATCTAAGATACTATCGAAACTCCATAACCTGGGCTGTAAAGTTATGGGACTTATCGTCCGACTTTATGATGATTATGTTGGATTATGTTGGATTATGTTATCTATTTTGTTTACAAACAATGTCTAATTTCAGCATAGTCAACATAAGTCAAGATAAGTTTTCTAGACCTTTTTTTAGATTGCCAAACATGGACATTTGATCAGTTAAAGACAAGGGGCAAAAAAAGTGTGCTTATATTTAAAAAAATGTATTTTCTGTGAAACGATAGGAAAATTGCATTTAACAACTATGTTTTAAAATAAAACATATTCTTAAAATGAGGCTAATGAAAAAACGTATTCAATATTTCATGTGCTAACCTGAAAATTAAAACTGTCATAGTATTTTAAAAAACATGCAAAAACAAAGTTGAAATAAATAAGTGTAGTAATACATAGAAATCAAGGTTTAATACAAATAGGGATGTCTCAAAATAGGGGGGCCCCAAACCCTTGTTTTTTGTATTTAGAAGTTAGCTTTGGGCCCCCCCTATTTTGAGACATCCCCAAATGTTAAAACAACAACATTTGCTTTGAAATTAAAAATCAATTTTCAAAAATAATAGTTATTTAGAATTATCTTACAACAAACGTCAATAACAAATTGAACAATTTAGTTAGGAGGAGAAAATGTCATATGTAATGATACATTTTTTTGAAATAACAAATTGAATTTAGCAAAGAAATATGTTTCATCTTTTAAAAAGGAAACAATGACATAAGAAAAACAGCAAAACAAAAAACAACAACAAGTACAACAAAAAAACAGGACACTGTGGAAGTGCACTTTTTTTATTGTTTTTCAGAACTGTAACCACATTAAAGCTTAAGCTGCAGATGAAGCTATGTTCATGTCCACTAGAGAGCATATATTGCTTGAAAAAGTGTCCAGGTGTTCACTCTACCTTAGATAAATGCTACTACAGGGTCCCTTCAACAAGCCACAATTTCTGCAGAATATGCTAGATGACTTCAACATAATTACAACATCCCCATGCCTGCCAACAAATGCAGTATTCAAAACAAACATACCCTTCTGTTTATTGTTTTTTCAAAACTGTAATCACACTAAAGCTTAAGCTACAGATAAAGTTGTGTTCATGTCCACTAGAGAGCATGTATTGCTTGAAGAAGTGTCCAGGTGTTCACTCTACCTCAGATAAATGCTACTACAGTGTCCCTTCAACAAAACACAATTTCTGCAGAATATGCTAGATGACTTGAACATAATTACAACAGCCCCATGCCTGCCAACAAATGCAATATTCAAAACTGTAGTCACATTAAAGCTTGAACTACAGATAAAGCTGTGCTCATGTCCACTAGAGAGCATGCATTGCTTGACGATGTGTCCAGGTGTTCACTCTACCTGAGATACCTGGGAATTTCAATAGATTTCAATAGAAACCTTCAGATCTTTCTTATTGGATTTCACACTTTGACTTCTGCACCAAAAAAATGTGTTCTTTTTCGAGGCATTGATTTCGGTTCCAAAACATCACAGATTTCTGAATGTTTCGGCTGAAACCTTCAGAAATTTCCATTTTCCGACCCCAAATCAACGCCCGGAAAAAACAGTATGTTTTTTTCTTTACAAGTTTCTGAGACCAAATATTTCAGTGATATATTCTTGTAATCTTTGGTTGTTGTATGTTGTTGTTGTTCTCCTTGTTCTAGTGGCGGTTGTTGTTGGTATCCTTGTCATGGCTCTCATTTGATTGCTGAGTGCGCTACTCAGTGTTGCGTCAGTATCTTTGCTCTTTCAGTTCGTCAAACGGTGTTGGGCGATCTTATTGACAAGATTATGTTTTTTTGGGGCGTGAATGAAAAAGGCAGGTCAATTCTGTCCAAAAAAAGATGGGTCTGGGTTGAAACGGAATACCTTGCCCACCGTTTGCCAATTCTGCCAAACAGCGCTGGAGCTTAGCCATCATTGTGCAGCCACTGCAGCAGTGGCCCGCGAAGTGGTGGCCCAGAAGCGGCGCTGTGGCCAAATTTGGAGGTGTATATGGGATATATGTTTAGAATTATGGGGTGTATATTTGCATAGATACATGGACATGGCGTGCATGGCCATGTAATATATATATATATGTACATATTTATGCGTTTATCTATTTGGAGATATCGTGATATATGTATACCTATATGCACCCATGTAAAAATAGATAAACGCATAAATATGTGTATATATATATATATTATATGGCCATGCACGCCATGTCCATGTATCTATGCAAATATACACCCCATAATTCTAAACATATATCCCATATGCACCTCCAAATTTGGCCACAGCGCCGCTTCTGGGCCACCACTTCGCGGGCCACTGCTGCAGTGGCTGCACAATGATGGCTAAGCTCCAGCGCTGCTTGGCAGAATTGGCAAACTGTGGGCAAGGTATTCCGTTTCAACCCAGACCCATCTTTTTTTGGACAGAATTGACCTGCCTTTTTCATTCACGCCCCAAAAAAACATAATCTTGTCAATAAGATCGCCCAACACCTTTTGACGAACTGAAAGAGCAAAGATACTGACGCAACACTGAGTAGCGCACTCAGCAATCAAATGAGAGCCATGACAAGGATACCACCAGCAATCGCCACTAAAACTGCTTCATGGGATTTGATCACAAAATATGATGGAATCGAAGATATACATCATAGAACTTGTGGTCAGTGAAAAAAACCCAATATTTACAGCGTAGACTCGACAATCTGTTTGTGAAGTATATGCGAGGATTCAAGTCAAGGTCTGACAACTCACCGTGATCCATGGCAATCACAACACGATAGGATTTGATGTAAAAGCATCTGAAACATGCCTCCCCGCAGAAGTCAACGCTTGATTTTGCTGTGAAGACTTCTGCCTGTTTCAGCTGAAAATGTTATAAATTCCTAGGTTTCTTAGATGTCCAGCAGAAGTCTGGATATTGAATTTCCAATCTGTATGGGAAATTCGCTGGGGGTTACCACAGGCCCAAAGCAAATAACAAAATCAACCAAAAGCAAGTTTGCAACCCCTAAAGTGGGAGAACTGGCAAAGAGTTGGATCCGGGTCCTTAGCCCTTCAAATAAAAAAACATGAACCAGAAAACAAGAAACCCAAAAACCAAGAAACCAAAAAAAATAAACAAACAAACCAAAAAAAAACAAGATTGCACACCCCAAGGGGGGAGTAGTGGCAGAGAGTTGGGTCTTGTCTTTTTTTTTCGGTTGTTTGGTTTCTTGTTTTTCTGGTTTCTTGTTTTTTTTTTGGGTTTTTGGTGTTGTTAGCCATTGCAGAAAAAACCAACAACGAACCAGGAAATAAGAAACCAAAAAAACAAGAAACCAAAAAAAAAAGATTGCACACCCCAAGGGGGGGAGTAGTGGCAGAGAGTTGGGTCTTGTCTTTTTTTTTCGGTTGTTTGGTTTCTTGTTTTTCTGGTTTCTTGTTTTTTTTTGGGTTTTTGGTGTTGTTAGCCATTGCAGAAAAAACCAACAACGAACCAGGAAATAAGAAACCAAAAAAACAAGAAACCCAAAAAAAAAAGATTGCACACCCCAAGGGGGGGAGTAGTGGCAGAGAGTTGGGTCTTGTCATGTTTTTTTTTTTGTTTCTTGTTTTGTTTTTTGGTTTTTGGTTTTGTTTAGCAATTGCAGAAAAACAAACAGAACTTGTCAATGGTTGCAAAGCAGTGAGAGAACCATGGCACATGTGCAGTGAAAGTGGTTCTAGAATGCAGTGAAAGCCCGCACTCCCAGGGTGTCCCCTTCTGAAAAAAATATGTATTGATAGATAGAAATATATAGATTTGAATTTCCTAAGATTGAAATATGAAAAACTATATCTTATATCTGATAATATTGAATACAACATAATGTATTTAGAAATGAAATGTCAAAATACGTTTCTATTATGTAAAATAAAAACATAACATTGAATATGTATTTAAATATTGAATTTTCATGTTGATTATGTGTTTTTTAAAAATATTATAATTGTAACATGTTTTTATACTGAATGTAACATGTTCATTTTTAAGGCAAACTAATATTGTCTAACAGAAACAAACAAGAAACAATACAATTCCAATAATTCAAAAGCAAAACATTTCAGGGCACACTGTTTGATTTCTCTGTCAATTACCTGCGGCATGTAGAAATTGCTTGCCTCTAGATGTCAAGTTCGGGTCACAAACATAACTCAAGCTAACTCAACTTAACTCAAGTAGGCTCAAGTTAAACTTTTTAAAACGAGTTATAACTGTTATAAGTCAGCTATGGCCGTTACCTAAGTTTAGCTAAGGGGGGGTTGGCGAAGTAGTCGATTCTTATACAACAAATGTTTGTTTCAATTGCGAACCAATCGCCGATCAATCGCGACGCAGGGTTTTAAAATCACTGATGTGAAAATACACATGCCCTTTCATAATTCTTAGACTTGCATTATCTTGCATTTGCGGTCGGCTCCCAAATGGAGGCACTAATTTACACCAACTGCTTAAACAATCGCACGACACGTGACTGCTGTTGAATTGGAGCTTAAGATATCCCCTCAAAAAGACATCCGCAATGCGTATTGCAAGTCCAAAATGACGGTTTAGCATCAACAAAAACTGGGCACCAGGGTTGGCCCTAAACTTTCAGAGATCGCGCGAACAGCTTTGCTCTCAAAGTCAAAGAAATTCTCCTTGTGCTTGGCTGCCTACAGCACAAGGAGGGTCTTGAATCATGCATAACACATGTTGTTTTGCGATGGTTTGCTACAGGTACGAAAAACCGGGCGTTTGACAACACACAGCCTCCAGCCACTTCTTTGCAAATTCAAGTTCTTCGGCCGAGACGCTGAGAGCTTCGCAGTGTGCAAGGCACGGCCCCGCTTTCTCAGTGGATTCTTCTGAGATCGCCTCTTTCAATTTCTCGAGCGCTGAATCCTGGTATAACTCCGGACATGTTTACTAAAGCAGTTGTTTTCAAAAATTTGGACGAGTGTTGCAAATTCTGTTTGTGACTGTGAATCTAGACCTAAAGAAATACCATGAAATACCGCTTCTGGCAACCACTGTCCTTCTTCTGCTTTGCCTGCACAGGGGCTTGCGGAGGCTTACATCCTCTTTGTCTAAGGGATGATGACGAATGAATACATTGTTAACTGGACTCGCTGTCTATGAGCCCGGATCCTGCCTTGATATCGTCCAGCACCTCTTGTTCTACATTGGCACGAAGAGCGCGCTCCTGTATTTCTTTCACTTTCTTGAGGTCATAGCCGGCTGAGTCCTTGTAGTGGTACCAATCACGCAAGAGTGCAATCCGAGTCTGGCCAACTGTGGTGAGAGCAGGCATCGGGTCAATGATGAGGACCAAATCAGCTTCTTCACAGACGCCTTTTTCAATCGCCCAGCGTGCGACTTCTGTAACCACTTCCTTGGTCTCTTGAATGTTCCATCGTTTGAATATTGTCTGGATCCGAGACTCTGCATCTTTCTGCTTCTTACCGTGCTCCATCAGTGTCTCTAGATGTTGCTGGAAAGCTCCGGAAAGCTCTGGAAAATGCATGCGTTTTTCATGAATTGGTTCACCCGCAAGGGCTAACCTCAGCAATTCCCCAATTTGTGCCAAATAATCCGTCTCTGATGAGACTGGCATTGTGGGCTGATTGACTGCATCCAACTTCTTCAGAAAGCTGTCGGCATCTTCTTTCCTTCCAGTTCTCTGAAAGTCGCTGAGAACAGATTTGGCTTCCTCTAGGCGTTCGTCCTGGCGTCGGCACCGAATCTCCTCCTCCACAGCATCTAGCTTCTCTTGCGTCAAATCCTTTGGCGGAGATGATCTGCGCGCGAGGTTCAGGGCGGTCTGCAAGGCCCCCTTAAGAGGCTCCGCCAACCCTGTGGTCTTGACGGCATGGATGAGGTCCTTGAGCTCTTCTGACTGACTGTTGGCTCCGACTTTCCACTCTAGGAGGCTTCGCAACCATCTTTTCATCTCTCTCAGCTCATTCTCCATACTCTTCACCTCATCTTCATCGTCACGATCGTGATGTGTGTCAACAAAGAAAAATGGTACTTTCTCAGCCCTCTCCTTTGACAGGCCGACGCCCAGGTCACTGTCTTCTCCATCTCCTGAAGCATCTTGCTGAAGCATCTGTCGGAATTCCTCCTCAAACTGTTTGGCTGATTGCAATTTCCCAGCCTTTCTTTTCTTCTGTGCTTTTGTTTCATGGCTCCATTGTTCACGACCATCAGCGTGTGATCCCACATTTTTTTTCCGAATCTTCGCTGGAAAAACTGCAAGTTCTCGCGAAGGCTATGCGAGATGCGGGTTTCATTTTTTAGAAGTATGACCATTGCATGAACATGACCAAGGCCGTTGACCCATCTGGCCACCTCCGCCATATGCTCATCATCTTTTTGTGGACCTCTGCTATCTCCCAGTCCCGGGGTATCCACCAGAAGAATCGGGAGAACGTCATCTCTAACACGCCATTGTGCTGCAAGCAGCTTCGGCTCGTTGGTTTCCGAGCTGCCTCCATGCCCAAGCTTGAAAGTTGATGTCCAATGGCCATCTACAAACTCTAAGCTGCCTTCGAGGAGACCACAAAATGCACTCTTTCCAGCTCCGGTCTCTCCAATGATGACGACCCGTTTGCATGTCCTTAATGCTTCCTCTGAAACATGCTTCTTCATAATTGCGACTGATTCAGCAAGTTGCGGATCTTTGTCAAGAATACCGAGCAGTCTGGCCTTTCGTTCCTGCCAAAATGACGACCCCTGGCAATGCTTGTAAAGGGTCTTGTGACAAATTGCTAGATAAGTACTGTAACATGTCAAAAAGCGCACAGCTGGTAAAACCACCACCATCACCAAAATCATGAAACATCATGCAACCAACTTCTATTTCCTACTGTACATCTCTTCGCCAGAACATCATGGCCGGTAGCCCAAACTAACCTCCAGTCTTCATCCTGACGTCTGCCCTCAAACCGCGCGCAGAAAACAAATACTCGGCACTGCATACACAGGGCATTCCAGAACATTGAAAATGGTTAGATTAAGTAAGATCACCACCATGCATATCTGAGATCACAGCCACCCGCACCACCAGCAGCTGGAAGCATTCTGTCCCCTACACATCTTGGCACCCGGCGCCCTCGTGCCTTTCCGTCCGGCTTCATGTGACTACCTGAGCAAATCAAACGGCATAAAGCCTTCCAACTTACGACTAACAGCAGCAGGTATAGAGCACCGCATCAAAACTACAACTTCAACTGGCCAAATTGCCGAAGTCTCTTTCAAAGAGCTCCATTGTCATCCACTCGCACACCACCTCCACCTCTCGGCCATTCTGTTTCTTCATGTCATCTTTCACGGCCTTTTTCAGATCTGGAATAGTACGGAACTCTTCATCACAGTGAGGGCCGCCTTCAATGCAAAAAATTCGAACCACGGAGCACTCTGCGGGCATAGTGGCAACCAGCACGGTCTGGCAAACCTTCGCTTTCCAGAGGTCGAACCAGCGAGCTCCGCTCTTGAGCTGGTCGATGAAATCCCCCTGCTTGCCAAAGGCTTTGAGCATTCCCGAACCCTTGCAAATGGCCATTACCCGGTCGTGGTGATCTTCGGGGCAGGAGGCTACAACTTTGACTTCATCTTCCTCATGTCTCCACGACACTGAAGGAAGACAAAAAAGGTGACGGGCATGACTGTATGCAACACGGGTTTGTGGATAAATACAACAAACCAAGGACGTCAAGCACCAAAACCCTGGCCTTGTGAATACCACGTTTTGGCATCTGCTTCGGCCGTGGGCCCGGGGGTGCACTTGGTGTGACTCCAGGATCCGCCATTTCACCACCTGGATGAAATTCTAAACATGACACCTCGAAGGTTTTTGAACTTCTCTCTCGGCTCCCACCTGGGCTGAAATTAGTTCGACACCTCACAAACCTTTGCCCAACCAGCCTGCGCAGAGCCACCAGTTGCAGCGCAATCTGTTTCCTTTAAGGAAACTATTGCTCTGCTGTGGGTCTATGCGTCTAGGAGCGTGAGCAAGTGTTGCTGCTGTTTGTAAACACATGTTTATTTCCCTCAAGACACTTCCTCCTTGCTTTCCAATGGACCATAAAACAATATAGCAAACAACAAAAGGGCACAGTTCAATGATGTTCAAACACTCGTTGCGGTTACTGCACAAGACTGTGGCAACAATCCACATCATTTCTCAACTGCAATCGAATGTCACAAAGAAAGAGCAAAAAACAAGTTACGAATACGACAGGTAAAGAACACAGGCAAGTAAAATGCGGGGTGCTGCACAGCTTGGAGAACATTGCTGAGCAGTCTGGTGCGTGACTACGGAAAGGAAAACATATTTCACAAATTTCTTTTGTCAGGGTCAGTGTGCATCTGTTAACTTTACTTCAGCTGGCACCTAAAACTTGAGCCTTGAGCATGTCCATTTCAATGTCAGTGGTTCAGAATAAAGTTAGATATTTGGCGTCTGCACACCTTGACCAACCGTGTGGGAGCAATGCGTGACGACAAAAAGGAAAACCCGTATTTGCATACTTTTGCGGGATTTTCTCCTCGAGCAACCGCGCATCCCCCTGGCCTTTGCAGAGATGAAACCGATGACACTCTTTGGCGACTGCTGAAACATACTTTCAACTGCTATTGGCGAGTACGTCGACTTCAATGTGAAGGCAACCATGCCAGGTGTGGATTCCACTTGGTCACCTCCCGATGCCAATCAAGGTCACACAGGCTCCGCATAGAGCCAGGAACAAAAGATGCAAAACAATGGTTGCAGAAACCACGGCAACTCCTCGCCATCGGAACAATGATAATTTGGCTTCAAAATTTGAACGCTCCCCTTCCGGCACCGATGCCCCATTGGCAATTTCTTCAATGCGGCACCAAATTGACATGATTTTTGTTTACCTCCAGCAACTTCAAACGATCATGAAGAAATTGAGTGCCACGGACAGGATGGGCATCATTGGCATGGATGGGGCCTGACAAGAACAACCAGCATTGTCAGCATATTCAACATTATTCAGCCGTATAACTCAGCTCAGCTGTCAGCGTTGCACTGACTAGCAGGATTAAACCCAATTTCCGCCTGAACTTTGTTGATGACCAAGACCCATGACTGCAAATTGAGCTGGATGCCGACCCATGCCGTTCCTCACAAGCCGTCTATGGTCAGATCAATTTTGCTTTCTGATTGATGCTGTAGCATTTAGGGTTAAACGATGTCCTGACACCTGACACCTGTAACATTAAAGGAAGAGAATGTCACTGTCAGAGTAGGGTTAGAGGAAGAAAACGTCGACATTTGACATTTCACTGTCAGAGTAGGGTTAAAGGAAGGGAAAGAGTAGCATCAGAGAAAATATATTCCTTTAAAGGAAGAGAATGGAAGAGAGCCAGCGTGAGAGAAATTTAAATGCTCACGGACATTCTCTTCCTTTAACCCTAAATTTGTTCAGCTTCCTAGGGTTAAAGGAAGAGAATGTAAAGGAAGAGAGGGAAGAGAATGTCACTTTCTACGTAGACATTCTCTTCTTTTAGCTTTCTACGTAGACATTTTCTTCCTTTAATTTTCTACGTAGACATGATCTTCCTTTAACTTTCTACGTAGACATTCTCTTCCTTTAACCCTTGTCAGGACATTGTCGTTTAGAACATTCTCACATTCTCCTTCTTTAACACTGTTCTACGTAGACATTATTTTCCTTTAACTTTCTACATTACATTATCTTCCTTGAACTTTCTACGCTGACATTCTCTTCCTTTGACATTTCACTGTCAGAGTAGGGTTAAAGGAAGATAATGTAAAGGAGGAGAGGGAAGAGAATGTCACTTTCTACGTAGACATTCTCTTCCTTTAACTTTCTACGTAGACATTCTCTTCCTTTAACTTTCTACGCTGACATTCTCTTCCGTTGACATTTCACTTTCAGAGTAGGGTTAAAGGAAGAGAATGTAAAGGAGGAGAGGGAAGAGAATGTCACTTTCTACGGAGACATTCTCTTCCTTTAACTTTCTACGTAGGCATTCTCTTCCTTTAATTTTCTACGTAGACATGATCTTCCTTTAACTTTCTACGTGGACATTCTCTTCCTTTGACTTTCTACGTAGACATTCTCTTCCTTTAACCCTTGTCAGGACATTGTCGTTTATAACATTCTCACATTCTCTTACTTTAACCCTAGGGTTAAAGGAAGACAATGTCAGCGAAAAGTCTACGTAGAAATTTCTCTAGGGTTAAAGGAACAGAATGTCAGCGGAAAGCCTACAGTGAGAAAGAGAGAAAGGAATCAGCGGCCGAGAAATTTCAGCGGCCGAGAGATTTCTCTGACGCTGGGGCTGCTGAGGCTCTTCCGCTGATTCTTCCACTGACATTCTCTTTCTCTCTGAGACCCTGAGGCTCTCTTACTTGAGACTCTTCCGCTCTCGTCTGACATTCTCTTCCTTTAACCCTACTCTGACAGTGAAATGTCACATGTCGACGTTCTCTTCCTCTAACCCCAGCTGACGTTGTCTTCCTAAATTTCAATTGTTAAAGAAAGAGAACGTCATTGAAGATTAAAGGAAGAGAAAATCTACGAGAACAGGATTAAAGGAAGAGAATGTCTACGAGAACGTCGACATGTGAAATTTTGGTTTAAAGGAAGAGAATTAGGGTTAAAGGAAGAGAATGTCTACGAGAACAGGGTTCAAGGAAGAGAATCTACGAGAAGGTTGACTTCTCTTATTTTAAATTTCTTTGACATTCTCACATGTCACTGTGAAATTTGAACATCTACGACGACGATGTCCTGACACATGTCGATAGGGTTAAACGACATAGGGTTAAACGATAGGGTTAAACGACAATGTCCTGACAGATGTCACATGTCAATGTCCTGACAGATGTCACTGTGAATTTATGTCCTACGACAATGTCCTGACACATGTCACTGGTGAAATTTTAGTATCTACGTGGAATGCAACCCTAGGGTTAAAGGAATGTCTACTGACATTCTCTTCCTTTAACCCTACTACTGTAGACATTCTTCCTGTCGACGTTATAAGCCCTAAATCCTCCATGAACCCTAGTTTAGCAAGTGATTTTTTAGTCAACTTAACAATCATAAATCG